AAGGAAAGGTTTATATATGGAGGGCAACTTTCTTTGTTGGTTGCCAGGGGTGGGAGGGGTGGGGAGGAAATACCGAGAAAAAAAAATGGATTGACCCATATCACTTTAGTTTTGTGTATTTCACTGTACATAAATTATATTTCAATAAAACGCATAAAAAAAGAACTGTGAATTAAACAAGATCCTCAAGTTAATTATAAAATGTAATATAAAACAGAAGTACAGTATAAAAACTTAGATCTCTTCTCACCTGATTTACTGTTGTCATGTTCCACAGGGCTATGAGGGTTACTCCTGTAAGAGCTAAAAGGCTGGCTACTCAACAGGTTATCACACTGCAGGCTCTGGCAGAAGGTCTCAAGAAAGCGAAGCGCGAATGATGCACTGTTCACTGGAGGGAGCTGGACAGAATGGTTTTCTCCATCAAAGGAAGCTATTTGGAGGGAAAAAGATGATACCAAATTCAGCTCATAAAGATGAGGCATACAACACTAACAATAAAGCCATCAAGTGGAGAAATGTATTAAAAGTCAAATTTATCGTTTTCTTAATTCATAAAGGAATAATCCTACATTATAAAAGATCCTCTCATTTAAAACCAATAAGCTGTATTGGTAAATACATTCATAAAGTAAACAACATCAGAAACCCACTGATCTATAACACTTCCCTCTATTCCAAACATTCCACGGGGATGAATGTAACCTGACAATACAACTATGGAAGTCAGCTATACAGTGTCTTTTAATGACTTCTTGATTCACAGTTTTAAAGCTTCTTATAACCAAAACGAAACCCGACCCACTGCCATAGAGTTCACTCTGATATAGTGATTCCCATAGGGTACCCAAGGCTATAAATCTTTACGGAAGCAGACTGCCTCAGTCTTTCTTCTGTGGAGCGGCTGGTGGGTTTGAATGGCCGACCTTTTGGTTAGCAACCCACTGCCTTAACAACAGTACCACCAGAGCTCCTTATCAATAGTTGATAGAATATAAATATTATAAAATAGGTAGTCTACATATTAAAGAGTCCCTGCCTACTTGAAATCTAAAATCAAATACGGAAAAGAAGTTTAATAGCATCGGATGAGCATACCAGTTATCACTTCTCCTCCACGATGATCTGGCTTAAGGAATCCGAAAACAGTCTTAGTCTGAAGGGCACAATCTACACAGGCCTGCACGGTCCGCCGGAGCACAACATTGACAGGGCCAGGGCCAAAGTGGTCAGGCAGTTGCTGGATTCTCTTCTGATCCAGGTGAGGACCAGCATTTCCATGTTTATTTACATAGACACAGACTTGTGGGAAAATGTGTATACAGATATAATAAACAATGAGATTGGTTAAAAGAAACTTTGTGAAAACACTACATAATCAATTACTATGGCCCACTAGCCACTTCCCTCAAAGAGATCATTTAGTTACTATCAGCAATCATTTCTGTTTCTTAAAAAATATGTATTTTAAAACACTTGTGTAAAGATATTAAACATACAAGAAATAATCAAATTGCTTATTAAATTTTCTAGAATTTTTCCTAAACTGAGTATACTAAAAACTATACAAGTTTTAATACCAACACAAAACAATTTTCCATACATTTCCACATTATATAAAACAGCATAAAGGCAGATCAATACTTTCATCTTTCAATTATTCACATAGTATGAGAACTGTCTTTCAAAACTTGTCAGGTTTCTACAGTCCCTTTTGGAGTGAATTTATTTTAAATCACCAATATTGTACCTTAATTGTATTTTCCAAAGTAACCAAATAACTAAAGGTCCATGTCACAAGTTATAGTGGCCTTTGTTTCATTCATTTTAAGGGGAAAAAAACATGTTTTTTTTTTTTAATATATGCTAAGGCTTCATCAAGGAGCTCTGGTAGCATAGTGGCTAAAGCACTTGACTGCTCACCAGAAGGCTGGCGGTTCAAACCCACCAGCCACTCCTCGGAAGGAAGGTTGGGCAATTCTACTTCCATAGTGATATTACCTCGGAAACCCAAGGAGGGGTTGCTATGAGTCGGGGCCGACTTGACGGCAAATAACAACACCAACAACAACAAGGCTTCATCAAAGAAATAAAACAAAAACAAAAAAACCTCTTTCTCTAGTATAATGAAAGCATATGATATAGAAGCAATACATCTATAATCACACAGATGTCAAATTTTAATAATTTTTCTTCACTAAGAAAAACAAATCAACATACAATGCAACAACATGAGTGCACATTAGTAAAAGCCATTCAAAATTCAACCAGCAGTGCCGACAGCATGGGCACACATCTACTAAACACAAGTGAAGCTAACAAGGATTCCAATCCTCTATCTCCTTTGCATTATACTTACTTTGCTAGCCTCTCCCACTACTAGATTAAAATTCAGAAATAATAAACTAACAAAATAAGATACATTAATCATTTTTTAAGTGATTTTTATTTCAAAAAACTAAAGTATAATTTCTTTTTAATCAAAGACAAATTGGAGGAAAATGCCCAGGGAGCAAAAGAGCATATAGGAGATACGGATCTAAGAAAGGAAGTAATAGAGCACATTATAAAACACAGGAAATTGTGCAAAGAATGATAAATAAAAGGGATGCATTTGTCTAGGTCCATGTTGTTTCATACTCTTTACATAGAGAATGAAGTTACCATGCCCTTGATAGACCAGGACCTGTGAAAAAGGATAGTTTTAAAAGGCATTTGTAGTAATTCAGTTTGTATGTCAACTTGGCTGGGCCTGGTTGAGTGGCTGGGCA